GAGGACGCCGCCGGAGGACGCCGCCGGAGGACGCCGCCGAAGGACGCCGCCGGAGGACGCCGCCGAAGGACCGTGCCGAGGACCCGGCCGACAACCGCCAAACACCACCAAAATCCCGCAGACGCGACGACAGAGCTTCACTCGCGGCTAATTTTCCCTCAAAATATTATGACAAGCGTTTCGACACGACCAATAAAACGCTAATGTATGGTTGTAGTCTTTGCGACATGCATTGTTGGGCACGACGGGTACGGTGGAACAGCCTCGATGGGGAGCGCGGCGCGCGCCCGCATTGGTCGCGGTGTGCGAGAGAGACAGCACGGCGGCGCGGCGCCCGCGAGAGCGCGACAGAGAGCGCGACAGAGAGCGGCCCGCGCACCACGCCGCCGATTACCTCCGTGACACAGTTTGAAGCATCTTGGTGGTAACTAGTGGGGCGGGCCGCGCGGGCCGCGGGAGCGCGACTGATAGGGAGGGTGGCGTGGCGGGAGGCAAGCTCACGGGGGTGGCTGGCTGGGCCGGCATCAGCACACGCAGCGGTTGTATAGTTAGCAAAATACGGCTAATTTAAACACAACTGGAGCGAGAGCACTGTCTTTCTCTTTCCCATTTTGGCACAAGCCCAGGCGTTTCGACAAGACGCCGAGCTACGAGACAATGTGTGGAACCACGTGACGTCGTGTAGCCCCCGGCAAGGCCGCGAGCTCAGCCCACCGGTCAGGCACCCCCTCCCACCGCAGCGCGGTGGGCTTAGGCCCAGGGCCAGGGCCGTTGGGTGGGTGTCGCCCGGAGCCGGACTGCTAATGGCCCGACTTGGCACATAAGCGTCATCTTTAACTTCTCTCCTTTTTTTTCGTCCCGCTTTCTTCCTTACTGCCGTCGCTGGCCCGGGCCGGCCCTCCCCGCGGTGAGCGGGGCGCCGCGGACTGTTAACGCCCTCACGCCGACCCGGACCCATTTTTTGGCAGACGGTTTTCTAAATTGAATTCCGAGAGGCGTTAATTATTTTTTCATCCCCAGCCCCTGTCCTTCTGTCCATTCGCACGGCCCGAGGGATGAAAAAAAAATAATAGGGAAAACTTTTGAGTTGCGAGAAAGGGCGGGTCGTGGACCAGCAGAGCAGATAGCCTTTGGCGCGGGGAATTCAAAAGGCGTCAAAACAAAACAGTTTACTGGCCATCATCATCGCGCTCGCGAGTGTAGAGCGATACAGCACAATGGGGAGGGCAGGGCGACAGGCCGCGGACGAGCTTTTTATCGTTATGCGGACCGCCGTGCCAGCCACCTCTGCTCCGGGGAGGGGGAGGTCCCGGAGGTCCTGGGAGGTCGGCATTACACAACATTACATTGTTACCACCTCGTTTATAGCAGCAACGTGATTTTTAGACCACAGCCTGCGCCTGGTGGGTTCACCCGGCCGGCTGACACGATATACCTCCCTGTAATGGCTATTTCGCGATCGACGACGTCAGCGGTCCCTACAATAGTCACGTGACCAAAACGGACAAGCAGCGAAAACAAGGCAGAAATGTTTGATCACTATCTTCGTAAATTTACAACATATTTTGTAGATTTCATTTACAAAATTATGTTGTTGATTTACGACAGCATATTCTTCCTCAACGAATTTTATAGCACACATCATGGAAAATGTTCCTGTAGCCCTTACGTTTTTCTCACACTGATCCTTATCAATAGTCTTAGTTTGCCACCCTGTAACAGTATGGAAAATTGTGGCTTTATTTGGCTTCATTGAATTTCGGCGAATTACTTTAAAGTAATTGCTTCAGATCGAAACCAAAACGCATACACTTAAACCGTTTAGTCGAAAATATTGGTGCAATGTAAAAACACGTCGAACAGACGTCTTTTCGACTAAACGTTTTCCATTGCGACGTCCAGGACTGTGTGGTGTGGCAAACGGAGCAGAAGCCCATGTCTGGATTTGCTTTGTCCCGGCACGGCGCTCGCGAGGTGGGGGAGAGGGGAGAAGGGGGAGCTAGCGTATGAGAACCAGTCTTGTATTCAGACATAGTGTCAATTGGTATTTCGCTTGTTCCGGTGGCTGGGCTGGGCGACTGCTGCTGATTTATAGACCTGTCTTTGGCGCATTATTGTTCGGGTTTATTATTGTGGGTACATTACGAGGGCTGCTGTGCCGGCCAGCGCTGGACCACCCCGACCCCGCGCCGGCCGCGCCACCGCGCAGTGCTGTACGTTTCCCCTCAAAATGGACGTGTCAGTTTTCTGGTGTGCGGGCAGGCCCACCCTAATGGACACACACGCACACCGTAAAAATGACGCCCAGTCACCGCTCGAATTTTCACGCTAATGCGAGAGACAGGCAACATATTAGCTTATCAGTTTTGAGGAGACGGTCAAACAGTGGTCCAAACAAACACTCCGCGCTCCACTTGAACTCCTCTATTTTGTTGCCTTTTTCTCTCGATTCAGCGGGGACGTGTGGGCCGGGCGGGTGCCGTTGCGCCCGTGTTCGTTCCAGCAGCACAATCGCTTTGATCCCCGATGGCCCCGGGTAAAAAGGAGGGGTGCGTGGGGGGGGCTGTTCGGACAGCGAGTCGTTCCTTTTGTCGCGCGAAGGTGTTGCGGTTGTCACGGGGCTGCTGCCTCGGCTGCTGCCTGGCTGTTT